TAGTAACTACAGTCATGATGTGAAATATTATTACAATTGTTCAATAACATTTTTTTTTGTGTATATATATATATATATATTTAATGTAATTTATTCCTGTGATGGTAAAAAAATAATTCAGCATTATTACTCCAGTCTTCAGTGTCACATTTCTTTAAAAATCAAAATAATATGCTGATTTGCTGCTCAATAAAAAAATCGTACTACCGATTTTGAAAACAGTGGAAACCATGACACATTTTTAGGAGTCTGATGAATAGAAAGCTCAAAAGAACAGCCTTTATTTGACATAGAAATCTGTCTTTACTGTCACTTAAAAATATTATCAATTAAAAGCTCTTTCTTTTTCTTTCTTTCTTTCTTTCTTTCTTTCTTTCTTTCTTTCTTTCTTTCTTTCTTTCTTTCTTTCTTTCTTTCTTTCTTTCTTTCTTTCTTTCTTTCTTTCTTTCTTTCTTTCTTTCTTTCTTTCTTTCTTTCATAATTAATCACTATTAAATGACCCTGAACATCTGAACGGTAGTGTGTTTTTATAGTATGCCAGACTTTTGACTAATTATATAAAGTGTGAAATTCATCAAGATTGCACCCACTGATAGCACAATTAATTTACACACATTGGCTGTGTTGTTTAAGCACCCAATTCACTAAAGGAGTTATACAAATCAGGTAACTGTGCAAACGTGCCCACGGAATTAGTGCTTATCACAACAGGGCATTCCCCATTTTACAGGCAGGTCCTGTTTGGTTGTGGAGGATGCAGGAGATATACAGTTAGAACTGGTGTGTATACTGTGTGTGTGTGTATATATACACTCACCGGCCACTTTATTAGGTACACCTGTCCAACTGCTCGTTAACACTTTATTTCTAAGCAGCCAATCACATGGCGGCAACTCAGTGCATTTAGGCATGTAGACATGGTCAAGACAATCTCCTGCAGTTCAAACCGAGCATCAGTATGGGGAAGAAAGTTGATTTGAGTGACTATGAACGTGGCATGATTGTTGGTGCCAGAAGGGCTGGTCTGAGTATTTCAGAAACTGCTAATCTACTGGGATTTTCACGCACAACCATCTCTAGGGTTTACAGAGAATGGTCCGAAAAAGAAAAAAACATCCAGTGAGCGGCAGTTCTGTGGGCGGAAATGCCTTGTTGATGCCAGAGGTCAGAGGAGAATGGCCAGACTGGTTCGAGCTGATAGAAGGGCAACAGTGACTGAAATAACCACTCGTTACAACCGAGGTATGCAGCAAAGCATTTGTGAAGCCACAACACGCACAACCTTGAGGCGGATGGGCTACAACAGCAGAAGACTCCACCGGGTACCACTCATCTCCACTACAAATAGGAAAAAGAGGCTACAATTTGCAAGAGCTCACCAAAATTGAACAGTTGAAGACTGGAAAAATGTTGCCTGGTCTGATGAGTCTCGATTTCTGTTGAGACATTCAGATGTTAGAGTCAGAATTTGGCGTAAACAGAATGAGAACATGGAACCATCATGCCTTGTTACCACTGTGCAGGCTGGTGGTGGTGGTGTAATGGTGTGGGGGATGTTTTCCTGGCACACTTTAGGCCCCTTAGTGCCAATTGGGCATCGTTTAAATGCCACGGCCTACCTGAGCATTGTTTCTGACCATGTCCATCCCTTTATGGCCACCATGTACCCATCCTCTGATGGCTACTTCCACCATGTCACAAAGCTCTAATCATTTCAAATTGGTTTCTTGAACATGACAATGAGTTCACTGTACTAAAATGGCCTCCACAGTCACCAGATCTCAACCCAATAGAGCATCTTTGGGATGTGGTGGAACGGGAGATTCGCATCATGGATGTGCAGCCGACAAATCTGCGGCAACTGTGTGATGCCATCATGTCAATATGGACCAAACTCCCTGAGGAATGCTTCCAGCACCTTGTTGAATCTATGCCACGAAGAATTGAGGCAGTTCTGAAGGCAAAAGGGGGTCCAACCCGTTACTAGCATGGGGTACCTAATAAAGTGGCCGGTGAGTGTATATATATATATATATATATATGTACACACCAGTTCTAACTGTATATCTCCTGCATCAACAATCCACAATAAAATTGTATTTTAACCAGGAATATCAATACAGTACCTGTATGATGTCAATTATGCTGATGCTTGCGTGTGTGTAGTAGTGAAGCTGCTCTTGGTGTGTCAGGATTTCCTTTGGGAACCGACTAATTGTGTTAGAACTGGCTGCATCTCATGGCCTCATTCTGTTCACTCTCTCTCTCTCTCTCTCTCTCTCTCTCTCTCTCTCTCTCTCTCTCTCTCTCTCTCTCTCTCTCTCTCTCTCTCTCTCTCTCTCTCTCTCTCTCTCTCTCTCTCTCTCTCTCTCTCTCTCTCTCTCTCTCTCTCTCTCTCTCTCTCACACACACACAACTTCTGGCCTAGTTCCAGATATGGCCCACCTCCACTTTAATTCACTTGCACTTTTTCTCCTCCCGTCTCTTGCTCTCTACCCTTTCCCCTCTGCCTTTCTTAAGCCTGACTGTGAGATATAGTGAGTAAGACATCTCTGCTGTCGTAGCACCTAATCAAACAGTGCTTTGGGTGTTAACTGTGGTGTAAGCAAAGCCCTGCTGTTTGGATAGTGACCAGCTCACTGTCTGAATGAAACACTCCCTGCTAACAAAGCAGAAAGAGCTGCTGCTATATGGATCCTCACAGACCTTTTAAAACATCTATGGCACTGTTCCCTGAATAGAGCAAAAAATAGAGTCTGAATCTCTTACACAAATCCACCCATCCATCCACCCATCCATCCATCCATCCATCCATCCATCCATCCATCCATCCATCCATCCATCCATCCATCCATCCATCCACGCATCCATCCACACATATAATACATACGTTTTTTTTACATTTCACATAAATACTGTATGTTAATATACAATATATTTTATTTTGATATAAATACTATTTCTAGATATTGTGTTTTATTTTTTATTTTATTTCAAACACACACACGCACACATATATATTCAAGAGCTGTCAGAAGCCTTCTGCTCAACTGATTGGCTAATCATCAGGGTTGCCAGAGTTCGAGGTTGCTTCTTTCATCAGTTTTCCCTGTTTAGGATCCCAGTAGCCCCTGATTCTATCCCACCAGGCCCTGCCTTCACAATAGCTCATTGTGTCTCGGCCTGAGTGAAATCATTCTTCTCTTGCTTCAAGTGCTGGAACGTTTCCTCGCCAGGTTTGATATTTCAAGGAGAAGTCACTCAAATTCTCGTGAAAGTGGCTGGTCATGAAAATCCAACCTGAACCTTCCAGAACCTCTCCTGGCTCTCATCTGGTTCAGTCGCGGTCTGTAGTTAACATCACAACCTTTCCGTGATCTGTAAATCCTCAGTTCCTGGCCGGATGTTCTGTGCACTGGGGGAAGTCGTCGTTGCTTTATCAGAAACACAATATGGTTTCTCCCTGTGGCTGTAGTGGGAAGGCTGAATGTGTATGAATGGATCCAGGAGGTTGTGATAAACAGCCATTACTAAAACCTTGTTCCCTTATTCAGACTGTTGATGAAAAGCCACTCACAGTGTTGAGTTAGTGGGCTGATGTACGGCCGCTCGGGGGCCGCCACTCTGCATGGTAATTATAAACAGTTACACGTCGTTCTGGGACCGAGACCACAGCTGAAAGGAAAAAACCCAACACTGCTCCATTCTGTACGACTTTCTTGTAGTCGAGTAGAAAATGTTTTGAACTTTAACTACATGGAAAAGATCTACTGTGACTTATCATCAGCTGACATTCTGCACATAGTACTAAGTGAACTCTGCTGTAAAAACTGAGATTATTTGTGATTAAATATCATTGGGGAATGTAACAGATTAGTTCACCCAGAAATTAACCCTCATGTCATTCCAAAACTTTATGACTTCACACTGTCAGTTTTTTGGGATTGACAACTGCATTTATTTAAAGTAGTGCCTCGAATACTGTCTGTATTGAATGTGCAACAGGATTTAAGCCAGTATTATTTTACCAGTAACCATAGTGACTGTGACCAAAGTAATATCAAAGATGGCGACATCAATAAAACTGAAAAGTCGTATCACTTTTGACATGACAGGAGTCCAATCGAGCCGTGAGAAAAAAAAATGTCATTAAGATTTATTTATTTTTCATTTTTATTTAACATTTAATATTAATATTTTAATTAGAAGATAGACTATTTAAATAATTTTTTTATTATAATAAAATATAATTAAACAAATTATTTTATGATTTCTACAAGGCATATTTGTTAAATGAAAACGAACTTCTGGTTAAAGCCCCGCACGCTTCCGGATATATCTGTATACAGATACAAATAATTCTGAGATTGTTACAGATGCAGATATAGATATTGGCTCCGTTGCACAGCTGCATGAAACTCCAGTCTCCATTCTTTGTAACTGGATGAACGTGTGTGAGCTGTCCAATTCTCTTAAATTTCACCTTTTGTGTTCAGTGGAGGAAAGGAAATCATGGGTTTGTAATGGCATAAAGGTGAGTAAATTATAATAGATGTTCATTTTTGGGTGAACTATTGCTTCAAGAGAGGAATTGAAATGCTAAAATGATTTTCATTTAGCCATGAAAGAAAAGTGCTCTCATTCTTATATATAATCTTATGTTTTATTTCACTGAGGTAAGCATATCATGCAATTAAATGTCTTCTAAAGGTATTAGTTTTTCAACTGAATCTAAAATGACTCATTTTCTATTATTCAAGTGTAGAAATTAATGTAATTTAATAAAAAGCCAATGTAAGAGTTGTAATTACTGCACTGCAATTACAGCAATGTAATTTAAAGAGCCTAGACAAATGCAAATGCTATCTTTATCTCTTTAGTAGCACAAAAACGCTCTTCCTTTTCTCCCACTGGCATTAACAACATTTCTTTCGCAGCATCATTTTCATAGTTTGCTTAATGAATTTCAGTATTCTCACGTTTCTTTACTTTCTCGTCAGGTGTTCCCTCTGGGCCAAGAAATGTCATCTCCATCGTGAACGAGACCTCCGTGACTCTGGAGTGGCACTCCCCGCGTGAGACAGGCGGGCGCGAGGACGTCATGTACAATATTGTTTGTAAGAAATGCCAAGCGGACCGCCGATCCTGTTCCCATTGCGATGATAATGTGGAATTTCAGCCCCGGCAGCTGGGACTGACCGAAACCAGAGTCTTCATCAGTAACCTTCTGGCACACACTCTCTACACGTTTGAGATCCAGGCGGTCAACGGTGTCACCAACAAGAGCCCGTATCCTGCCCAGCACGTCTCCATAGACATCACGACCAACCAGGCTGGTGAGTGATTACTCTTTTATGAAGCCAAACAAGATTATGCTTGATTAAACAAGCTTATGCAATCAATACAGCCCACAGCAACAGAATAACCCTGCTGATGAAGAAACAGTTTAGACCAGTTCATATTCCAAAAATGGAATCAAGTCTTAATCAGTTTTAGAATGATCAGTTCGGGTGTGTTACCTGTACAAGCTAGTTACATTTAGATAGTTAAGACGGTTATTGTTGGAGGTAAACTGTCTTGACTGGTGCAGTGTTTTTATTGGTTTAACTGATCTTGATTTAAACTAATTTAGGAGGAACTAGCTTCAGAGGAAGTCTGATAGCAGGCTACAGGACTAGCCTACAGCAAACACTGCACCAGACTATTTAAATGTTGAGCAAGCAATCTCATTGGCTGCAGGATCAGCAGAAGCCAAATCAGCTTGTGCCATGTGGTAATAATGTGATTTTTCAAAATACACAATAATGTGTGTGTGTGTGTGTATTTAAACATTTTTTGCTACTTTTTAAGCAAAGAAAATCAAAAAAATAAATGATATTGTAGGGTTAGTTTTGAATATTTTACAATTTCTTATTTAAAAAAAAATGCAACCAGCACTTGTGTGCTAGTAAAATGTTTTTTTTCCCCCCTTTATGTTCTGTCACATACTCGTATACATTTTGACCAGTTATTTTTCTGCTTTCGTTACTATTTTTATTACCTCCAATCTAGTTTCTTCTTTCATTTCCATTAAAAAAGGCTCCAAGTGGTCATTTGGCCTCGATACCACTGACTGAAGGATATTGAGACTGAAGTACTCCGTTTCAACATTTAAAGCTGCTCACTGGACTGTGCAGGAAGTCAAAATTGAAAACATCACCTAGTTTGACCTACGCTAAAAGATATGCATCCTCATCATTTCCTTGAGGGCTCCTCTTTCAGTTTTTCGAGGGCAGCCCATCTTTCTCCATCTTTTTCCACCTCCTTTACTTACTTCCCCTGCCATCTCAATTTCCTGCTTTCACTGAATAGCTCTACAGAAGTATCACAGCAGTTGGTATGTTAGAAGTTTGTGCCGATCTCGCTGGGATGCATTCGTCTGGTTCGGCGCTTTCATCTTTATCAGCGGGACCAGTATGAAAAAAAACAGCCTTGATCGTGTCACTATTCCTTAATACATTCAGCCCTGAAACGAGGGCACCCAGAACTGTAGCGCTGAGAGTTTAGCTGCTTCCGTTGTGGCCCCCTCCCGGATCAAAGCGAGCGCTTGTGGATAATTTAGCGTGCGGGGGAGATTTTCATCCTCAAAACGAGGAAACTTTCAGTCCCAGCTATGAGAACAAATTAAGTTTGAATGTATGGCAGTGCTTGCTGACAGCTGCACCCTGTTTCGATTCCTTTTGTTTGTTTGTTTTTTTACACAACACAAGTAAAAAAGGAACTCGCTCATGCTAAAGTGCTGGATGGATGTCAAGGCATTCCTATGTGGTTGATAAGTGATTTTATTACATTGTTTTGTGGTTGCTAGGGTGGTTGCCAGGTTTTAGTTTTTTTTTGGCAGGTCCAAGTCAAATGTTCTTACAACTGCCCTCAACAAATCAACCAATTTGAGGTTCATGTGTGTAACTTAATTGTTGCAGTTTAATACTCAGGCTTAGGTATTATGAAAAATTTACTTTTTCCTAAAAGGGATAGTTCAAAAGTTATAATTATTTAAGCTTCTGTGAAAGAGAATAGAGATATTTAGATTTTTTTTTTATTCCCATATAATGGAAGTCAATTGGGTCCAATGTTGTTTGGACCCAAACACTCGTCATACTTTACCTTCAATAGGATGTAATGCAAACTAAACATTTATTTTGTTTTATCAAAATAATTATATGCAAATTATGCATAATATTTTTAAATAATCATGGAAAAGTATAGATTTGAAACAATGTAACAGGTTTAGTAAATACCATATATATATATATATATATATATATATATACCTTGTGGACAAGGAGAAGAGGGATTGTGTTTGGGTTTGTTTAGATGTGTGAGTCAGAAACAGTCAGTTAGAGACCAACAAAAGAAGCCAAATGCAGTATAAATCTGCCAGCAGCTATATCTTTCTATAGCTCCCCTGTTATGTAGATTAGAAGCTTTGTCTTGGATTTGAGGGGGATTTTTGCTCTTATGTTTTGAAGTAATGACAGAAATACAAGATTCTGTTGCCTAAACATAACAGGATGTGGAACATCGTTGCCGTTTGTATCATTTTTGAAGTTTCATGGTCTTATTGAGGCATGTTCATTGGAAACTAGCTTTATCAAGGCAGTATTAGACAGTATTATGTCAGTATTAGAGTTGTTCTTTTAATAAAATTTATATTAAAAGAATATTCACACCAAGAATGAGAACTATAAAGATAAGTATAACGACAACTACATTAGCACCCACACCAAATATGTCATCTGCCGCTTTAAATGCCCAGACTTATTAAAGTCGGGTGGATTGTGATTATCAATGTTTTTATCGTTCATCAGCTGGAAGAAATACAGTATCTTTGTGTTAGAATCTCAGCCCACAATTCCAGTCATTAGCAATGTTTGTTTTGTGAATGAATTATTCTGTTGAGTTAGATCTTTCTAGTGATTCACAAGAAGAAGAACAATTATCTGAATGATTTGTTCACTGATTTGGGAAGATTGTCATTAAAAAAAACATAATTTTTTATAACTTTCTTCACCTAAAGATATCATATGGCTTCAGAAAAATTTGAAATACTGTTCATGAAGCTTGAATGTTTTAGTGTCCATTCAATGTAATTGCATGGAAAACAGCGACCATTTTTCCATTTGTGTTTTACATAAGAAAAAGTCAGGTTTGGGGCGACCAAGCGGCAACCTCCCGGTCTCTCTCTTGAAACCAACACGGAAGTGAATTAAACTGCAATTCATCTACTGACTGCTAGAGGCAGGCTACAAAAGTGAGTCAAATCTGCATCTCCCCCATGTTAAAATGCCCAACTTTAGAGCAGAAAAAAACATGTTTACAGCCTGGAGCAAAAAGTGGTTTTGGTCTTTATAGCTTATTTTGCCCTTCATGACAACTGTGAGGGGGGTGAATTTTTTTACAACTCATCCGTTTAAATTATATTAAGCCTGCATAATTAAGGGCATGGCCACTTGAGTGACAGGTGGATTGCGGCCGTTTGTCTGCTGTCTGTTAGCGTCACTCTCAGCTAATTCCAGAAGCTGCTGTACTTGCCATCTCTGCCGTGTTTGTGCTTTTTTCGGGATTATTTCATACAATTTAATACACACATTATACCTTCGCCCACGCCGTTGGATTCCATCGTTGTCGAGTATGGAGAGAACAACCAGCGCTGTATTTCCAGTTGTTTTCCTCGCATACACTAACGTTAATGGATGTCTGACAATTTCGTTGCTAAAAACGTCTATAGATATAGAGACCACACTCGTTATGCGCTACTGTTGCTCTACCGGAACAGATATGCTATTTAACTTTTTAGTGTTAAATAAAAAGTACCGTCAGATGAAATCCGGCAAGTGACAGTGCTTTCTCTCCGTCCATGCAGTAACGTTAGATGCACACCCTTGAATGAGGTGCAGATTTCTAGTACATTTACTTGAACTTCTGAGGTAATATCTTTGGTTTAACCCATTTGAGAAATTGAGAGGCGGCCAAAATCAGATTTTAAAATGGACTCAATAAAGCTCTTTACGGACTTGACGTGCGATGCCATGCTGACTGACATGTATGCGCTTGAATCACTGTCACACGCACAAGCTCAGAGCAATATTGTAAGTTACTGCATGATAATACATTTTTATAGCAGAATAATAATACATCACGATACACAGTCTCACTTTTAGTTATGTCTTTTAACTATTATAATATTTCGAAGGGCAAAAACATGAACTTTAACTATCGGCTTTACTTCTTCAATCAGCTGTCACTTTAGCGCGAGGCCAGTAGCATATAGCATTAGCACCTCAGCTCCACCCACGTCCCGCCTCTTTGCCCATTTTCATTTATCCGGGAGTGACGAGAGGTGACGCGCTGCCAAGATGGCGACGGCCGGCCCCGCCCACTTTAGGCTTCAAAAACGCTCTTCAGAAACCTACGGGTGACGTCACGGACACTACGTCCACATTTTTTTACAGTCTATGGGGGCGACATGAATGGTGAGTAAACGATAAAAGACTTTTCATTTCCGGGCAAACTATTTCTTCGATGTGAGGAGCAGTATTTCTTATTTCAAGAGTCTACACAGCATCTCTCTGTTTGGCTTTGTTTTGCAAAGGAAAACTATAACTATTTCCTCTTAAACTGTGATTAGTCCTGTCTCGATCACCTGTTAGTGTGCTTGTTTTGATCCAGTCTAATTGGAGTTAATTTGCGTAATTGGAGCTTCAGTGCGATGCTTGTTTCCAGCTGAACTGAGTCGTTGAGAAGCAGTTCAAACATGACTGCACACGATCTGCAGCGGAGTGTCTTGTAATCGCTCCTCTTGTGACACTAAGAGTCGGAGCAAACAAACAAAAAGATCATAACACGGAATCAGACACCTGCCGAGTTTTCCTCCTTCTTCTGTGTGTACGAGAGCAGAACGACGAGGTAAATAAACCTGATTAACATTCGGCTCTAATGGCCGCTGCTGTGTGTGTGTGACGGTTAAACGGTGCTCTTGACAGATAGATACTTAAGAGCCATGCTCTCCTCCGTTGTTATCGCTTTTGGAGACCGTAATGAGTCTTTTGCTGTTAATGGGCCCTTCCCATGCGCAGGGGTCTCGGAGGTAAGCAGTAATTGTGTACCTGTACTTCTTGTACCTGATGGAAATGCCAAATGGGGGAAGAACGAGATGAAAAACAGGAGAAGGAATGCAGATGCTGCATGCTCAGTCTTGGGGAGGTTAGGAGACTATAGGTGTTTAAAAGTAATTAAAGCTTAGTCAGGATTTTATTTCATCCTTGAAAGCTGGGTGAAAGAGGTTTTCAAAAGAGCT